TGTCCTGACTCATTTTCATCCCTAGTTTCATCCCTTATGATTACAGTAGCTCCTGTCTCTATCTATTCAGAAGGGTCCCACCTTATTTTTCTGTGTGAGAAGACACAACGTAAAAATCATGAGAAATGAAATGTTGATATATTTTTATGACTGGATAGTTTTTCTTAAGGTAAGAGTGCATCCATTGTAAAGCATTATGTTAGCGTCTGTACAACCTGAAAACTGATGGGATTACTCCAAAATTAAAAGAAAAAAAAAACTGTAATATTTGATATTTGGATTTCAGGTTCAGCCTATCATTAATTAACTAATCAAGCATGACTTTCTTCCACATGAGACTCGTCCACTCCTTCAGTCCAGCGAAGAGGTTTTCTGCCTTTGTCCCAAAAGATTCCACTTGTGATTTTCCTTTTTATTTATTTATTTTTGAGTTTTCCCTTTTCTGGCATGTTTGAGGTACTATCCTAATTTCTGGAGAATATTTTCTGCTTCTGTGATGGAAAACAAAAATGAGTTCTGAAGGCTCCTCCATTTCCCCACTAAGTGAAAAAGACCCAACACTGAAATCAAAGAGATTTCTACTCTTATTTGAAGCTCCCTTTTCTACCAGTCTCTTGCTGTAATAGGACAGTTCTTTGACTATCCAGCAGTCCTTTTTAGTTTGCCTAGAAAACCCTAGTGAACTTCTACTACCTCATATACCATATTGGAAGATGACATACATTTGTATGCCCGAATAATGCTAGAATTACTCTAGAACTAGTACTTCTTCCTTTGTGCACTCTGAGGCCTTTTTTGGATCACTTCTGCAAGACACAAATGATGCATTTCATCTCAGAGTCTTAGGCATTGTGGAATCTCACATTATCTGGGACCTACCTAAACAGTAGCCTCTTTCCATAAGTATCCATTTTCCACGTGTATCACAAACTATGCATTAAAGACCAAGATGAAATCCATTTGCATAAAACTTCTAAAATTGTTCATTCTTCCTCATTCTTCCATAAGTTGTAGTTTACACCTTGGTGAAGACCAAGTTTGTCTTAGGGAAAAACACTGCTGCTGTAGATAGAAAAAGTAGATTCCAAAAGACTTTATATGTTCTAAAAAATGGATTGTGAACTTTCTTCAGCTGATTAACATCTAAAGGTGACATCTTCCATGATGTGACAGTCCCATTGTAGGCCCTTCTGTGTCTACAATGAGGAATCTCATATAGCTTTAGCGTGGAGATTCTAGTTAAAACTACAGAATATCACTGTGATTTCTCTGTATGATGTGACCTGAAGCTTGAGTGATAGGACCTGCTGCATGTGATCTCAAAGGGACAATGGACTGTGTCTAACCAACCTGTATCTACAAGCTCAGTATGAATAGCAGATTCAAGTATTGTAATGAAGCTGCAATTTTTGAGGTCCAAAACATCTCTGCTTCTTCCAGTTTTAGAATGCCATAATATATCTTACTGCTGCCAGCCAAAACAACAACAGCTTGTTCCTGAAATATCCTGAATTGAAGCTTTTTTGTGCTGTTACAATTTTAGCCATATGTATCACTGAACATCTTTTTGGAGTGACCTTGGAAAAGGAGAGCAGAGCAAATTTATCATTTTCAAGGCATAATTCTAATTTCAGTAATCAATAGTTTTTGTTCAACATTTTCAAAGTACAGTAAAGGAACAGAGGACTGCAACTTGTCATATTTGAAACAGACCATTTTCAAAGACTGTTTGCTTTTGGAGAATCGTTCAAGAGATTCCCATCCAAGAGTTCTTTTTTTTCTCTCTTCACCTTAAATGACAACGTCATTGATACTTACAGCCCTGAAATTTAAAGGCCTTCAGAGCCCTTTAGCCTTTCCTTCATTTACCCGTATTTTGAAACACGGAGTTTACTTATGATTAGCTACTCTGATTTGGTCATACTTTGTTTTGGGTTGCATATTGGTCAGAGGACAACAAGAAGAAGCAGATATGAGGAGGAATGACAAAATTCTTTAAAAGACACAAATTAAATACCAAATCAATACACTTTCTAGAATTTCTATTTTTCTTTCAGAAAAGATATGTCTTTTCTGTATACTGCCAAATCCAAAATAGTATCAAGATTATTCCCAGTGAATAAGAGTGATAGGAAGTTCTAAATTCCATATGAAAATCTCTAATACTCAAGCAAGAAGACATTTATACTTAGTTCAACACTGATGATGATGTCTTGCATCAGTTTATCATGGTTGGAAACAGTTCAGGACAGACACCAGGAAACAGCACCACACTGTCATTTTCAGAAGTTAAGCAAATAGCGGTATGTCACGACAACTATTTCCAAGAATGCTGCAGGAAGTAATGACTGTATTTCACAAAAACACAAAAGAATGACAGTGAAATTTCATGTCTGTTACAACTTCAAACACAGATGTTGGATTTGCCGTCTGATTTATTTTCTGCTTTGCTTTTTAAGCAAACAGTATCAGTTTTTCTCTTTCCTTCTTTTTCTGTGACTGAGATGACAAGAACTATTAGTTGGGAATGAACAAGCATAATCTTGACTATTTTATAGTGAGTCAGACTTTATGCATTTTTTCCTTAGGCAATGAGGAATCCTCCTAATTGCTTATCTCAATCAACTGTTAGGTGAAAAGTTCTTCTATCTTAACTTTTCTTGCTTCTATTAAAACTTGAGTCGGGCTGACAGGGATTTTTTTTTTCTGTAATCTTTCAAATCTGCCACCTTTCATCTGTTTCCTCTGTGTATTAGAGTCATGAATGGGTATTCATACTGGAGAAAATTAAAATGAGACATCTTAAACTAATTTTGTGTTTTTAAGTGAGTACCCAGCACTCCATCAGCTCCCACTTCTTTGCCTAGGATTTTTCCAAGCATGAGGAAAACTTTTCTTCATTTGGAGATGTTAAATCGATCGAAAGAGCGGAAAGAGATTGAAACATTTCAAGTTGATGACTGATTCACTGTTTTTAAACATTTTTTTCCTGCCTGGATATTGCTCTGCTGTTTTCTAACTTGTTTTTTAGTTCTCTTATATTCCCTCAGCTGTGACAGTATTCCTGGAACCAAGTGTGAGTGCACTACCTCAAAATGCCAGCAATAGGAGTTGGTAAGCAAATGGGGAAAAATCATCAGAGGAATCTCTGAAGCTTGGGACAAAGGCAGAAAACACATCAGTACTGCACTAACAAGGCAGCAGGTACCTTCATAGAGAAGATGATAAAATTACAGGTAAGGAAATAACTTATGTTTGTATTTCAGTCTCTTTCAAATGGTTTATCACTGTTCAAAATCTCCAGAAAAATACCACACTACAAACATATGAAGAAAGTAGATCTAAAATGTAATTATTCTTTACTGGGAATAATTGGAAGCTCAGTCTTATCCTTGTCTATGTAAAAAATACATTAAAAGGTGAAAATACGTTGTAATTATTAGACAATTTAGAGACTTAACCTAATTTTAAAACAAGGTTAGGTTTTTGTTTCATTGTTTTGCTTGTTTTTAGAATATTCAGAAATAGGAAATTGCTTGTTAGAACTTTCCCTTTACAATGAGAATAACTATAGGCTTTTCTTTAGATAAGTGAGGTAGGATTAAGCTTTTTTAGCTTAAGGACTTAAGGTAAGGACTGTGCTCCCATATCTACTCTCCTTTTACTTTCTCACAGTTGAAATGGTAGTACAGACTTCTTTATAAGGTTTTCATTTCTTCATCTGTTAAAAGGAAAGAGGCTGCTTTTATCTTCCATTTGAAGTGCCTAGGTGGAAGAAGTGCTGTGAAGGAAGTTACAGTTATTTAATTAATTGTCTTGCAGTCTTTTATGGCGTGTTGCTGCAGTCCCAGTATGGAGTTGTGGTCACCATAAACACTACAAGAGGATATTCTTGTCTGAATTTCTACAGTTATTATCTGTTACAGAAAGTAAAATAAGGTTTATGGTAACATCTTTTTTTTTGATTAAAATTTTCTTGTCTGAAAATGTTAAATTTTTTTGATATTAAAACAATTCTACCATAAACTATTTCTCTGCTAAGGCATGGAAGCACTGAGACAGTCTAGGCATTGTCCTGAACAATGTGCATTCTAGTGACATTGCCCTTTGGAAAAGAATAATAATGAGGTACATTGGAAAGCTTAATGAATTAGATTTATGCTTGACATCATTCATATGTCTTCATCAAGATAGACTGTGATAATCGTTCCAGTGAGTTATGTCAATTAAGTTCACTTTATAAATGAGTTTAAGGAAATATGAATATAAATCTATATTTATTTGTTTTATAGTATTTACATGTGCAGAGACTTTTTAAACACAATTTCTTGAATTTATGAGCCAGGGATTAATCTTGTAATAGATGCTTCTAATGGTCTACAGTGTGACATCTGAATTAAAAAGTCTAAAGAAAAGTAAAAAAAAATAATCTTTTGCAGGCATTATTTAAAAGAAAATAGGCAAGCTTTTAATATGCTGTGTACCCCTTTTGAAAAGGATCATTATCAGCAACACCAGATACCATATCATATGTCTTAATAAGGAATGAGTGGCCTAAGTTCAGTATTGCCTTTTGAAATGTGTCAAATTCTGACTTTATATCTTTTTTTCTGTACCACAGGTCTATCGATGGACTTATTTTCAAAGGGCTTTTCTAAGAATGTTTTATCATAATTAAAAATTGCTGATATTCTTTGACAAAATGAGTATTCTCTATCATATTTGTTATTGGTGACAGGTCAATGACTTTCTGGTGACAAATCAATGAGTTTGTTAAAGTTGAATATGTTTAATTTTTTCCCTTGAGTTTACTGTTATTGATATTTTTTTCTTTGAAACCATGATCTTTTGGATAGAGAAGTTACTCTGATTCTAAAATATGTTTTTCCTATTGTTCTGTATTTTTCCTTGTAAGTAAAAGAAAATTCCATCAATCCCCATTTTGTTTTCTGTAACTAATTCCGTAACAGTGTAGTACTTGACATATGTTTGTTTCTTAGGCAAACGTGTAAAACTCTTCAAGTCCGAATGGAGAAGTAGAAAAAGGAGGTTTCTGCTGTGCCTGATGACAATTTTTGATTTTTCCACACATACAAAATATTCTGGCTCCACGTTGGAGCACTAGTTGTGATGAATCCTAGTCTTGGTCAGATTCTAAGGAAGGGCCAGACGTTCGTTGAGGAACAAAGAGTCAAACCACTCCAGAAAATGTGTTCCAGCCCTGGTTTATTACTCACAGAGCTGCAGGTGTGTACAAATACAGGTTTCCACAGTATTAACAGGAATTGTTGTACTTAACTCTTCATTGTAGTTACTTAGTTTGCTACAGATGTCCATGAATCGTGGCTTATTTGGGCAGAGCTAAGCAGCCTCCATATGTCAATCAGATGTTTCTGGAAGCCTTTAAAGGTCACTAATCACTCACTCTCCTTTAAAAGACAGACCCATTTCTTGACCTTAAATATACCCTCTATTGTAGGAAAGCAATCAGGTGCTCTGCAGAGAAGAAATGACCTTAAGAAGGAAGTATGTCTTGGTATATCTGCTTAGGTGATGTTTGTAGTCATAGCTGATAGCTCAGCATCCTATAATAGATTTCTCAGAACTCAGGAAACAGTTGGAAAAAAGGTATATCGTCGATGCTGTTTATCTTAAGACCATGTTTAACATAGAGAATGTTATGCCATGCTGTCAATATATTTTTCTTTCTATTTTTCTAATCCCATATTTAAGACCATTTCGCAGATGCTTGACAGAAACAGAGCAAATGGAAAGCTAAATTTACATGTTGAAAGTTTCTATACCCTTTTGTTTTTTACTTATGCTTTTTAACAGTGGCCTGCATTCTTTAACATGAAAAATCTCCTACTGGCAACATTAAGAATGATGGGTAAACTTGACATACGGAGTTATACCTCAAATAGCATTGCGTGAACTGAGTTTTCAATATGTTTATTTCTTCCTTATTGGAAATTCATAAGCACAAGAATTAACACAAATATAATTCTGGTAAATCAGAGTGTGATAAAAGTATTGAAGAATTAGAAGCTTTAGAGTCTGATTTTATTGAAGGCACCAGAAACTTCTGAATCATTGGACTGTATTGGGAAATGTTTCATTTAATTAATAAAATGAGCTAGAAATAACAACTAAAGGACAGACTCGAGGATCTAGAATTCTATATTTCTCTGCTGTCAGCTTGGGAAACTTTTTAAACTAACACTTTGTAAATATAGCTCTTGAGCCTTTTTTATTTCAGAAGTTAGGTAAGGCCAAAGATTTAGAGTCAGGAATGAAATATTTAAAGACTTTTGAAAAACTTGTCCAGCAGTACATACCTGTCACTGAAGGTAAGCAACTCTGTATAATTATCATTAATATCCTTTTCAAAACTACTCACAAATCACTCACTCCATTTTGCCTTCTATCACTAGCCAAAGTCAAATAGCAGTCTGTGATACTGAAACAGCAGTCTGTTCTCTGGTGTAGGTGTTGCATCATGCTTACCCTTGAAATATGTTTGAATGCTTCTAATCTTTCCCAGAACTCTGCAAGGACTTCTGTGCATTCAGAAACTTAATTATCAACCACAAGCACCCAAATACACACCTGCTACTATAAAGTACATATGAATCCTATTACAAAAATGTCCTTAAAAGTTCTTTACTACAGCATCTCCACTTCTTTAGAAAACAAATTCTCAAGTTTTGAGGATGTTGTGAGCCTGCCTTTGCTAACATTTGCTAAGCACTTTTGAGAATCACAGGTGGATAGTATTAGGGAAGTATGAAGTAGTCATATTTTATGAGCAAATACCTTCCAAGCTTATAAGTTGATCTGTTTTGGTGCATAAACATGTACAAGTGGCAATACAAACTGTCACTTGCATTCATAAATCACATATGATGATAGTGTCTGGCAAGTACACTGTACAGATTTTGAAATTCCAAAAAAATAGTGCTCTTCCATCTGTTCAGAATATTCATTTGCAGTCTAGACCTTCATTTGCAGAAGGCATGAGAGGTATAAACCACTGACAGATGTTTTTTTCTGATTATGTGGGCCATGCTAGTTCTGTGTTGTGATGCTTACAGTAGGCTTTCAGCACCAAAACAATGTATGACTGGTATAGTCCTCTTCAGTGGCTGTTTCCTTCCCTATTAGGAGAGGTTTGCTAAAGAAATACTTTGCTTACCTGGTTTTTAATAACTTGGTGGTGCTCTGTTGATGCATGGTATGAGACTATAAAAATACAGATAGAAAATTGAAGGTGCTGTGTACAAATATGTACAAACAGGGTTGTCTTGATTCAAGATCTCTGGCTATGTATCTTGGAGGACAAAAGCATCCCACAGCTAAGAGTTTTCATAATATATCTTTTTCATAAAGCATTTATGTAAGGGAATCTTACAGCATTCCTTGTATTTAGCTTCTCTGAGGTTATCCATTAAAAAGATCTGTAGCATCAATCTTATTTTTCAAGAAATCCTCACATCATTATTATTTTTGATAGGCATCAAGGCATTTTGAATGGCAGAAGAAAGCTATGCATGTAACAGCCTTTTTTTTGTTTGTTTCAGGAATTTCAGTGAATTTTTGAATTATTTTAAAATCCTTTCTGTCCTGTTTATCTCCAGAAAAAAATAATTAAAAGATAGATTTGAAGGTTCTTGAGTATTGTGAGAATTTCTTAGTTAATACTCAGGCTTTGATCATGCACACAACCCTGTAGGCTTGACAGAACAGTTCTAATTTAACAGAAAAGACCAGCATTAAGTTCTTTTTGTATTTATTTATATTCTTTGGTGAATGCCTGGAACAGAAGGTCCACCATATCTCAAATGCAGAGGGAAGAAACATTTGTTAAAAAATTCCTGCAACCTGCCTTTGCATTAATACATGATCCCACTGGCACTATAGTGGCCTTCTCCCCACCACTCCCTCCACTAAGTTCTGTTGCTTACTGTACAAGATCCCCTGTTTAATTGGCAAGTTCCTAACTTTCAAGTACTGGACTTTACAAACTAAAGAATGTGGTTTAATACGGATATTGTGTATGGTCTGTCATAAACATGGAAAAAAAATCTGTAAACCTGCCAGCCAAAAAATTAGTAATGTAAAAGTTGCATCACAAAATATTCCAATGCACACTGATTTCAATGTATTGTATGTTGTTATCTGTTTTCTTCTAACATCATTAAATAGTAATTAAGGTAATTAGATACCTCATTTGCAAATATAAACTAGTTTGTAGTTAGCAAATATATAGTGGTATATTTGTCATTCTGAAGAAATAGAAGATATGTATTATACACTGCAACTCTGATGCTTGGGTACGTGACAACAAGAAAAGGTGCATTACTGTTTAGAGAAGATTCATGCAGACATTCCTTATAGACTTGATTTTGCCCCCTTCCTCTGCTTATGTGGAAAGAAGTTTCAGGAAAAGTATCTGGCTGGGTTTTGTTTGCAGTGTGCCTTGGCTGGGGGTGGTTTTACAAGTGAGGACGTTTTTCACCCTTTGTCAGCACCACTTGAAGGGTGGGCAGTCCAGAAAAATCTTGAACTTCTAGCTTTTCTAATTGACCCCTCATCTCTGGTTCACTCTGTTTTACCCTGGCAAATGTGTTCTACCCAAAAGCTAAACCTGTTTAATGAGAAAAAAAATGTGGAAAACTACAGTTGTATTTAATTATGTATTGTTTTAAAATAAAACAAATTACTGTACAATTATGGTCAATTTACAGCAGCCACTCACCAATTTAAATTAAAAATCTCAAACTACAGAGTAATTATGCTTTAATTGCACATTTGGTAGAAGAAAGTGAGGAGAGTCTAATGCATTGTATTTATGATATAACAACCATGTGAAAAAATATATTAGCATAAAGTAATTATGCTCCAAGTACGAACAAATTAATTCAAATAAATACCAAAAATGCTTAAGGTGTTATGTCCTTTTTTTTTTTCATTTGCATTCAGCAGCAGAAAAGTTACTTTTCATACATGTTAATTATTAACTGAAAATTTGATTAGATTTGATTTGCTCCTATTCAGCGTTACTGTTCTCTTAGGATTTTAAAGATCAGAACACACTGCTATCAATTAGCGGTGGTCTCCTGTTAAGACCATTGGCATAATACTTTGCTTCCGAGCTGCTCAAAATGCGCAGCTTTAATATAGCCAGAATTAAGTATTTCTGAAAATAGCTTCACTAGATATTAGCTAAAATTTCACTGCTTCTTTATGAAATTACCTTTTCAGCTGAGGGTCCATTCTGTCCTTAATGTGTGTGGATATATAACTTCCATTAATGCTAATGGCTGGTGTGTGCTTGCTTAACAAGGATTACCTTTTTACATAGAGGCAAATGTGGACCACTGTGCGAACTCCTCAGAGTCAGTGCATGTGACCTGTGAGTTAAAACGAAAGAAAAAGACAGCAGGGGGAATAATATAACTTCAGGCAAGGGAAACTAGTTAAAAACTACAGTCATGTAATCATAAAAACTAGGCATGTGCAGGTTACTTTCCTACACAGTCTGTATAATCATGATGAGCTGTGTGTATGATAGAACACCCACTACACAGCAAGGATTTGAATAGCTCACTGAAACTGTTTTCCTTCATATCACCTGTTTATTCCATGTAGCAGTGCATTTTGCTTGTAAATAGATGTTTTCGCCATGCAATTGTAGAGTTAGACTGGGGCAGTTTAGGCCTGCAGATCATGATTTCACTGAGTTTCTTTGCGACTTCACTGACTGAGAAGAACACATTTGCACTTGCAAGCAGCCGTGTAACTGAGTGCTCATGTATGTGTGAAAATGCTGGCTCCAGTTTATCACTGTAGCCAAAACATTGTGGTGGGTGAACTGGACATTATAAAAATAATAAATAGACCTTCATGTTGCATTTCTATCTTCAAAAGATTTTGATTGGAGGTTTAACAGTATAAAACCACCTTACATGCTACCTTGGGCTTCATTTAATGCATGTGAGAAGTTGCAGTGTCATATTGGTAAACTGAATGTTATCACAGACCGTCTCACTTGAATTTTGCTGGAAAATCTGTCACTCATAAATATTTTCTGACATTTTTGCAACTCTAAATGGTGACCAGCAGGTTAGAAAATGATGCTTCAAGGATGTTTCCCTTCTCCCAGGGTGCGCTGGCCTGCTGTGCCAAGCAGCTTGATTTAGCTCTGCTCAGCCCTAGCTTAAAGAATATCTGTGTTGTGAACTCTGAGGGCTAAAACACTCCCTTATACATTGCCCTTGTTTTATATGACTGTCTTTTCAAAAGCCAGTGTTTACTCAGTGTGTCTGTAGGCAGAGCAGGTGCTTCGTGTGAGTTACTGAGGCTGTGCTTGTTAATTGTGCCTCTGAGAAGCCTTCTTCTGATTCTGCTTTGGTTCTACTCTGCTCTGTGGTGCAGAAATGTAAGATGCTTTGACCCTGCACAGGCCTCATGGCCTCTTTGGGAGTCCCACATAATTTCATCAGTGTGCTTTGCATCCATTGATTTACCGCAGTTTTATATGTATATATCAAGTGGAGCTAATAAAAGTACATCTGTGGATAGGATCAGGAGATGGGTGTTTTACAATATGCAGCGCAGTAGCACCTGGGTCCATGAGCAGAATTCCAGCATGTTATAATAAACAAAGAATAAATAACAATAAGGTGCTGTGTCAGCCTTCTGAACTTTGGTGCCTGGCATAGAAATATGTTGCCTGACTTTTAAATTAATTCTTCATTATTTTTTCAGGCATTCTTACAGTACAGAAGGGGCCACATGAGGCAAGAACAAAATAAAATAAGAGCAGTGTGATAAATAAACCCATGTATCATAAAAATCACAAAGCACAATTTTATTATTGCCTTCTTAAGTACAATTCCTAGAAACTACTTGCTGGAGAAGGCAAACTGTAATGAACTCCTAGAACAGACCTTTTAATATTCCACTCAGTGTTCCTGTTCTGCAGAGCTGACAAGAGCTGTATGCAAATAGTTTTGCTGAGGGCAAAAGAATGTTTGATCATTAAGGAGCATGACCCTTCTCTTTTCAATCAAAATGAAACACATATGCCCCTTGATGCCAGAAAGTGTTATTGTGACCGATCCAATGGGTTGTTCCTCAAGAGCTGGGATGGTGTCCCCTGATACAATTTGATGTTAAAATGTTACATGATCATTAATTGTATGCACTGACACAGCAGAAATATTCCTTAAAGTTATATTTCTTTGATATGACAGTTTTTCTTTCCTTTTTTTTTTTTTCTTTTCATGTTTAAAATCCAAATCAGACACAGGAAAGGTCCAATTACTGTGAAATACTTTGTCTCTCGCTCTTTCTCTCTTTTCTGTTCCACTCATGTTTCATGTTAGCCTGGGTGAAACCACTCCAGATGAACTTCTTGACAGTTATTTTATCCCTGGCGAATAGCGGGATGTATCTATCTCCTGTTTATGTATGCATGCTTTTTGTCCTGTTTCCTCACTAAGTGATTATTGCTTGCTGAAATGTATTTAGCCCTTAACAGGACATTGCATTTTAAAGCAGCATGCAAAGAAAAGAAGAATACATCTCTAGTTACAGTCAATATTAAAACTCAATTGCTAACATTTTAAAAGCATAGTTTTTAAGATACAGATGTTTCAACACTGAAAAATGAACATAATACAGACTGCTTTCTTGAATCCAGTATTTTTAGCTTTTATTGACTGGTAACCTGTGACCTTTAGAGTTTTCTCATGAATTTTTTAAGCATGGTCATATTTCAGTTTTTTCTTGTCAGATCTGATTCCAACAAAGCACTTCAACACACAATCTAAGCCGGGGAGCAACCCCATTTAATACCACTAGGTATTCTTATTTTATTTAAAAAGACAGGAAAGAGCTTTGCTGGACAGAGCTCTTACATTTCAATCTCAATTTCCAGTACTTCAAAAACAGGTCCTCTATGTAAAGTTTTGATTTTTGGCTTTTCTTTTTCTTTACAGGTAACCCGATAACTAAAGACAAATCAAGTCCACCTTGAGGCTGGTAACATTAAACACATCGCCCAGGAATTTCATTTCTCCATGAAATCTTTGAAGTGAAATTTTATACTGCTGGGGTGTATCCTTCAGAATCAATTGTTTCAGTGTGAACCTGGCATGTGATCAGCAACAGCCTCAAGATCAAAAACACTACTTAGAACTGTGTCACAAAGATTTCAACTGATTGAAATGTGTACACTTGTAAAATTGCACTTGCGGAGGAATTTGCAGCTGTAATTGGAAGAGGTGCAAAAAAGCAGCAGTCTCTCAGATTCTCCATTCCAGACTGATGGCTTTTCATCTTCATGACGCCAGCCTCCAAAATGTACTGGTTCCTTCTCTCTAAAATGAACCCTGTTCCAGCATTTAGAATGCTGGTGGACTGCACATTAATTAACTTTCCGTTACAGAAATTGTCCTCTGGCATGGCACAGTTCTAGACATTTTTATTTGTATTCTAATCTTGGAGCTCTGAAAGGTACATATTTCAACATCTTGAAGATACTTTTGTTATAGGAATGGAAATATATATCCATTGTTAATAATTATTGTTGACGAGTAATAGTTATCTGAATACATCATTCATGTTAGAATGTATAGTCAGGTTGACATGTTTCCCTAAGGCTAACTGACTGCTGCAGCTTTTTGGCAGTTAAAAAAGTAGTGGTCAAAACTCAATTACCACTTTCATTATAAGGCATTTATACCTTTAAGATATACATTTGCATTTAGTTTGAAGGAGAGGGGTGTTCCTGCTATGTACTTTATTCTCCTGACCTTTAATTCTTTGAAATTCATGGTAAGCAGTCAATGACACTATTTTATCTCTTTTTAAAAAGGTAGGCAGGGATGTATATAAGTTTTGCAATTCTGAAATTGGATGGTACTCATTCAGATTTTTTTTATTAAAAATAAAAACTCTTGCTTGAACTCAAGTATTGTTGGATGCTTATGTAGATGCTCACTTTGTTTGCTATAAAAGAAAAGTGCTTACAGTCATTCAATTCAGATCTTCTGATCCTTGCCAAAATCATTATCTCATGACAACATTTACTTTCTGTTTTCTATTTCAGTAGCAATTTTTTGAACTTCGTGATGTGCTGTTCCATGAAAAAATCCTCAATATTTAAAGGCCTTAAGCATCTATGAGCTTTTTTCTAAGTTATTACAGAATGTATAATTTTATAGTCCATTTAATGTATATTGTACCATCTGTAATATTGATACAACAGAGAGCTGGCAATTCCTTTTAGTGACACTGCATAAGCATGCTGACTGGAGAGGGTGAGAGAGTTCTGACTGTTTGCTTTGGTGCATTGAAATGAAAACCACACATACTTGAGGACAGTCAAAAACTATATTGGGGTAAACATTTAAATGTCCTGTATGGATACCAGACTCTCAGTGAAAGAGGGAAACCCTTTTATCATTACAAGCCATTGACATGGCTGGGTAGTTATAAATTAAGCTCCATGAAGGATGAACACCCTGGAGTGCTCTGTCAGTCAGTGTTCCCTGCTGTTCCAAAACCATTTCATTGCCTCTGCTGTATTCTTGCACAGGAGAGTTTAAAATAAATGATTGTTGGAAATAAAATTGAGATGTATATTTTATCATTCTGCTGAGGAATAATCAAAGATGTTGGCAAAGATATTCTTTTCTGATTAAAATTTCATTAAGATAAACTGTTAGTAGCAGCTGCAAGGTATCTCAGTATTTTAAGATGGAACAATATCGTACGGATTTATGCTAACAGGTGGGAGAGATGGCAGCATCTTAAAGAGGTTCTTTCTTTGGGGTAGTGCGAAGTATAAATGTGCTATTTTGTAAAATCTGAATATGGCCCTTCGTTGGTCAAAAATTTGCATCATGCTTCTCATTTTTTTTTGTTTTTCTTTCTTCTTTGTTCTTAAATCATCACTAAGAAAACTGTATTATACACAAGTGTAACACATGCATATCAATAAGTGAAAATAAATGGATTTTCAAATATACCGAATAGATTATCAGCAGTAGATTAATGTTGTGAATATTCATAACAAGTGAATAAAATTGTGATATAAAAGAGAGTCCCCTGCATGGGTGTGTGCTTTGAAAATTTTTATTCTACTTACCTATGTTAAGTAGAAAAAAAGGATTTTTCTTCAACGAACAAGAATCACAAAGGTTATAATAATTTTTCATTTCTTTAGTAGAACTGGTTATATCTTTGGGTGTTTTGAGAGTTTCTTTTTCCAAAAAAAAAAAAAGGGGGGAAAATGATGTTTAGCACAACTCTTCTAGCATTGCCTTGGAAAATTTGGTGGACGTTCATTGTGTTCTTAGATGAGGTTGAATGAAAATGTTGCTGTGCTTCACAGAAGAGGAGTCCTGAAAATAACTGATTTAGATCTTTTTACTGAATGCTGTGGACATTCCTGAAATGATGACATTTCAGTTTAATTTGCTAAATTTCTATAAGGGATATAGATGGAAACCATAGTTCAGCTCTCTCCATAGTGCCCTTTTTGCTACTGTTTTTGAAAGTGGAGTACAGATGACTAGGTCAGTTACGGACATTTATGTTGTAGCCGTGTGGAGATGAATACTGCTTCAACTGCTTCTTCATTCCTTATATGCTCATTCTCATATCTGCTGATGCACCCTGCTTCATCTGATTACAAAGATGGCCAGGCATTATGATCAGAGGGAAATCACATTACCTTTTGAAATCACTAATCTTCAGAAGCTCTGAATTACAGGCGATAACAGGGTCTCAGTCTGCAGTTCTCTTTGCTTTAAGACTTCATTAATTTTTTCTCTTAATTTACTGCCGCTTCCTTTCTGCCTGGAGTTTTGACACATTTGTTGTTAACCAGGATTCTAGCAAGGAAAAGGAGCCCAGTTTTTATTTGTAAAAGATGGCTTGGCTTAATCTCTAGTTTCTTCTTGCCAAGAAAACTCTGCATCAAACATGTCACAACTGAACAATCTGATTGCATTAAATGGTTTCTCATGATTTCAGTGATATTAAATGTTGCAATAGACATTGCTTAAGCTCTCTATTAGTCTTTGCAAGGCAGTTCTTATCCTAGGATAAGAAGTTTTCTGTTTTTTTCTTTTATAGTCTTTGAAAATATTCTCAAATTGCATCCTTGATAATGTGTGTATAAGATGTACAAAACTTTATCCTGCCAAATGCTTTATCATGCCAAATGTTTTAGAAAAAAAAATCCTCCTTGGCTGTTTGCTATGCATCTTCTGTGTTTACCTGAGTTTTTTTATGTGGTTATGAAAAAGGTAGGACTGCTAGGATACAGCACAGAAATCTAAGACCGGGATCTGTGTGGCGATGACAGCAGGTCCTAAGATCTTTTCTCTAGGGATATTGGTGGAAAGGTCTGTCTCATATCTCTAGGATTTCCTTCAAAGCCATGTGGCAGAAACAGCAAAGTGCTCTGGTGATTTTTCAAGGAAAGTCCTGAAGGAGTAAGATCACTAAAGCACAAGTGTCTGTCACTATTTGGATTAATGGCGAAAGAACTTTCCTTTTATTTACAGTTCCTCCTTACTACCATACATATGTGGTAATGTAGAGAGAAATGAAATCCAGTTATTCCTTGATAATAGATTTTCTTGATTAAATATCCCTATCAGATCAATATTAGCCATGACTGAGGGATTTGAAAATAGCTGAAAGCCAGTTTATTGCCTGATAAACAAACTTCGGGAAATAGTTTGTGCAATAGAAATATTATTTCCTATATGTAGTCCTAACTATAAAAGTAAATTATGTTTATAGCCATAACTATAAAATTCTATTTAAGTCCAATGTACAAGCAATACCATTTGCCATTTTTTTCCCTTCAGCACTGAGACACCCCAAAGTCTCTGTAGTCTGTGACTTATACTCTACCTATGCTGTTGCAACTGGGAAAGCAGTTGGGAAAAACAAATTTAAAAACACTGATGTCACTTGTTTTACTGAGGCATGTTTAATGAATAAGTTAAGGAAGTGAAGTTGCACTCTAATATCAATGTATCACTTGCATCTTTTGATCTTTTTCTCCTCACTCCTAAAGGAAACATGACAAAAAATGAAATGAAATGATATTACTCAGTCTTATGTCCTGGTGTTTAGAACTTACGACGAGAATTCCCATACACAACAGTTGTTTTAGTCACTATGTCTTCATATAATAGATTTTCTCCCACTGTTCCTCTCTTTAGGATTAATTCTGGATGCCTTGCCAATATTTGTATGTAAAAAATATAACCAACCCTTCCTATTACTGATTTAGAATTTTACACTCTTTACCTTTCATGTTCCATTTCTTTTTTTTGATCATTTTCTCTTGAGCTGGGATCCAGTCAGTTTTTACCAAACTTCAGTAGTAACAGGAAAACATAAGTTTCTTCTGTAAATAGTGGCCTGGAACTGAACACAGACTCTGTGTAGTACATCTTGAGGAGATGGAGAGATGATGCATCTCTATCATTAGTTCTTAAAATGCTTTCCAATTCACACTATTCTGTAGGAACATAAGCATTTTTTCCCGACTATAAATGGTCTGTATTTCAATATGCTCCGTGATCATAAAGCTGATGGAATGGTCTTCTCTGTATAGCAGATTATCTCAGCAGAATTTACAAATGGAAGATGATGATTTTGCTAATGTCCATGGGCAGGTAGACAGAATTTGGTCCCAGATGCTCTGCATAATGTTCGTGGCAAAAGCGACTCAAAAACAATGCCTCCATATGCCATAATTGCTCAAATTATTTCTCAGACATATCCCCTTGTCATCCCTCATATGCAGAACTCATTAAATTCCTAGTGGGAGAACATATGGAGAGGAGAGATGATGGAAAACATTGTAAAAAAGATTGTGTATTTAAATTTATATTATAAAAGACCTCTGTACACAGGCAAACTTGGTGGAGAAAGTTCAAATAATTTTGTCCCACTTCCCAAGAATTTCCTAAGAAAATCAACATTTATGGGCCTGTGCTTTGCTATGGGTAAAGATATTGAAAGACGATAGATAAAATCCTAGTCTTAGGAATATTATTGGGAATTTTACTTCTAATTTGAGGACAACTTGTCTTTCCTGCATTATTTGTCTAAATAGTTAAAACGTAGCTATGTCTTTTCACTAATAAGCATGTCTAGAAGTCAGAGCTCCATCCCTGCAGATCTGTTGACAGGATCAGGCCTTTGACTATGTGTTTATAAGTTTAGTGTCAAATCAAT